TTGTGGTTGCCATTTTACCAGCCAAAATGTAAGGGTTGTGTGGTAGTTGGCTATGAGCTTTAGTTAAAAAAGTTGGCCTAGGACCAAGTATCAAGATACAAGATAATTTTACTGTCCGAAAAATCATAAATGGGTTTCCACGGGCAATTTTACGGAGTATAAAAGCATACAGTACAGTAATAAATAAAATATTATATACAAGATTATTAAGTAAAAATATGATATCTATACATAATTATACAAAACATTAAATTAACAACATCAAGAGTTTATACATAAAGTACATCATAATGTTCATCATCAATAATATAAGTGGGACTTAAGTGGGAATAAAGTTCAACACATAGATTTTCAAGCTGATCCAGAAAAGGAAGATCATTCCAGTGGAAGGAAACCAAAAAAAACCATAGATTAAGCCATGTAAAATAAATAAATTGGTTAGCATCCTTATGTTATCAATTTTCATGGTAGGGAGGGAGGTTTTTTTTTTCTTGCGTCGAACATGAAAAAAAAGAGTGTCGCAAGGAAAAAGAGCAAAACAAAGAAGAAGAAAACAACAGAGACCAAAATTATGTAATTCATCTATAGAAAAGCAGAAATTTTACCTATGAATAACAGTCATAATGCAGTTATCTCTATAATCATCCACAATTCACTCCAACACAACAGGCATTATGGATGCCATGTGGCTACAATATAGAATAACAGTAGAGCATAGAACTGCAAGTGGTCTGGCTAGCGTGCGGACGAGTGGAAAACAAACATATATTAAATGTTTTTTTTTTTCATTAAATGAGTTTTTGAGTGTTTGTCAAAAAAAATAAAAAGAAAAGAAAAATCGGTTCGGTGGCGTCTCTGATGGTAATGAGGAGATGCTAACCAATTATTTTATTTTACATGGCCTTATGGTGCATAATTATCGGTGACTTTACATAGAGGTTTCTTTATGCTACTCTAATACAGTTGAGTTTATGTTACAATCTGTAAATAAGACCCCTCCAATTAAAGACCACCTCTAATTAAAGACCACTTTTCTATGGTCCCAAATTAACAAATGTCTTTTATTTTTATTATTCTAATTAGAGACCAAAGCTGCTAAAAACCATGGAAACCCAGGTCCAAAAGTGGTCCTGTAAAAATATCTGTATTTATAATTCTATACAATAGAATATCTTCCATCTTTTTACCTTTCTATTGTCATCCAGTATATTGTATTTCAAATCGCATGGGAAACATGGAGAATTTGAAATATAATAACATTATTTTAATATTCTGTAATATAAAAGCTATTTCTTCTATTGCAATACTATTTGATTTTTATTAGCTTGTCTTGATACATTGTTTAAGGAAAAATCTGAACCATCACCAGAGAATTCAACTGAATTTTGTTGCACATTTAAAATGAAAAGATCAAATAAATTTTTAATTTCCAATGTGTTTTATTGTATTTTTTTATATTTTGATGAAATAAAGATATTAGATATTAGATGTTGTATCATCTGAATATTTAAGGAACAATTCTTAAAAAATTTATATTATTTTCTTTTTATTTTATACATATTTTTTTTCTGGTTCCATTTTTATTTTACTTCTAGCTGCAGACTTCTTTGAATATGTTTATCTTACCGTATATGAAAACGATGTAATACGTTCAAATATACTTAATATGTTGATCTGCAGTGCTTGGCTAGAATACATATAAAGACATGAATCAAACAGATGCGGACATTTAATGGCATGGTTTCCATGGTGATCGTGCTTGTCCAGACACATGTAAGCCGTCTTTAAAAAATTTATATTTCCAAGTAACATGCAGTCTTCATGAATAAAAAATCAAGTACAAAATTGTCAAATCGAATTAAGTATTTAGTATAGTGTATGTGAATAAAAGGTGTATCCGTTTAGGTTTTTGTCATGAGGCATGTTAGTGGGGTTGTTAGGGATCAACGTGTTGAAAACAGAATTTGACATCTAGACAGTGGGTAACATGATGGCTATCTACAGTAAAGACTAACTAAAAAATTTGAAAAAAAAGAGCAATTAACACATTTGTTGTTATGCCTTTCCCACTCTCAACATCAAGAATTAAAGGGTCCCACCAAGTGGAAATATCCTTCAGTTGCTTGTAATAAAACACAAAAAAATGTTGCAAATTTGTTTTTAGATTATTACGTACTTTCCTAGGTACCACTTGTGTGTTTTTTAAGTGTATGCAGTTGTCACTCTGAAACACCACTGTTTTAATAAAATACATTAAATAATAGGGTGAGTATACTTGTCCCTGGCCCATCGGCAGCGTGACCAGAGGAGAAACATGAGGTTTTTGTTTCATGGCCTATTATTTTATTTTGGTAATGCAGTGTATTTCAAAATTATAAAATTTGACTGAGGAGATACATAAGAATAGAACAAAAGTTATGACTGTTAAAATCATTTGGAAAATATAGTATAGCATATAAAAAAAATAAAATTAACAATAGTGCTTTACTAAAGGTAATTTAATATTGATTATATTTTCTATATAAAAATCGTGACTTAGCGTAACAATGGTAGAATTGATATTAAACACGTATGGACTCACTGAGGAGCAGTTTGTCGTGGGTGAAAATTAACTTGTAGTGACAAAGGGAAAATTGGAGAAAGTTGGTCCACCAATGATATTCCAGCAAGCTGTCGTAAATTTTTGTGGACTCAAAAATGATGTGTGATTGTAAGGTATCCAAAAGCTTTGGTCTTTGTGTCTTTGTTGTAATTTGGATGATTGAAACGGTGGATAATGAGAATTGGTCTCCTGTACTTAGTTTTTGTGTTCACGTTTTCAGTATTTAGTTACGGTATCACGTTCTACCTCTGCATATAGTCAAGTTTCTTGTAATTAATCAATGTTGTTATTGATTTGGTGTTTATTTCTAATATAATGCTTTGAATTAAAATACATATTTATTCATCCCTGGCAGCTGTATTTCATCCTTGTGCCTTAGTTTATTTGACTGTCATTCAAAGTGTCAACTTGATGAAGCATTGTTGGCCAAATTCAAAGCCTATTCTTAACTTCATGTTTAGAAGCTTAGGCCATAAAGCTCATAAGTATTAAATATCATTTTAAGACTCTGCTGCAGTCTTAAGGTAATATCTCATTCTGAGGCTAATTTTATTTACAAAGAAAAAAACTTCGGGCCATCCAGAAGTGCCATAGAACATAAAGAAAGAAATAGACATACAATTTCATACCTTAACCCCAACATGGCTGGACTTTCCATCCCTGAACCCTTGTTAAATACAGGTTCCAGGTTCCTAGATCAGGCACTGCTTGTCAGAGATATGTCATGAATATCACACTGTAATGATCTGATCCCACACATCCCAAGCATCAAACCTCAAACAAAGACAGATTCCATAATTGTCTAATCCAAAATTACCTTATTTTATTCCTTAATTATATTTTTATGTAGTATTGTAGTTAATATTATTTGAAATAATGTATTTTTAATTAAAACCTTCATTAAATTCAAATTGATTATAGTTTTTAGTTAGTTTCTTTGTTTAATAATGCATGAACTAGCCTCATTATTAGCATATGAATTCAGAAGTTGCCAGAATTCTGTGTGAAGCCGGTATATTAACACATCAACTGATTCTGTGAAAATATACTTTACATACTGCAAAACACATCAATGTTATTACTTGTAATAACAGCTCCTAAGTTTAATGTACGTTAATGTGAGAATAGTGAGAGTTCATTGGAAACAAGAACATTCGTTGATCGCCTCGTGCAAAAGGTTGTAAATTTAAGCAATTTCCTTGTTTGTTGCCTTATTTGCATATTTCAGCTAGTTTAGTGGTCTCCTTGATGTGTGGCACAGTGACTTATAATTATCTGGTAATTTTAACAAGTTCAATCGTATGAAAATATAGAGGGTGCTATAACATTCATGCATGTCTGTTTGCCAGCTCTATTCTTCAATTTCAGATAATTGTTTTATTGTAGATCTAAACCACGTCTGTAATGATGTATTGGTTTGCTAAAAAAGATTATTAAATACGAATTAATATATTTATCAAATGTATTTATTTAAAGATGTTCTGTCTGAATTGAGCTAAAAAAGTTAAATTTAATGTTTGAATTTTGTAAGTACATTCACTATTCAATCTCGTACTTGCGTTAAAATTTTTTGTTTTTAATTTGTTTCCGTACAATGGAATCCATAATACAAATAGAAACCATGCCACCAATTCGTCAAATTTTAAAGCAACAATCTGCCAACATTTTTATAAATTGGAAATTGAATAGTTCATTATATACTTTTTAAATTATTGTATAGGCATTTAATTTATCGATATCTGGTTACTGTATTTTTGTGTTTTGCCAAGAAAATATATTAGATAATATTGGTTAATTTCACCTTTTGATAATCCTTGACCTGCTATTTCTGATGTTTCAAAATGAATACAATACATGTACAATTAATTAAGTTATTAACTTCCAATAAGTCAATAGGTGTTGATGTTTACAACAGAGTAGGCCTACATTCTGTAAATATTGTACATATCTATTTGGGTTATTATTTCATTTTTTTTTCAATTTGGTTTGAATATCACATTTTATACTAAACTAATAAAAGTATTTCCCTTTTGATAAATTCAAGGTGAACGTCCTTAATACTGTGTTTAATAAGTCTCACAATTGATTAGATAAACCCACAGCTGACAGGTAGCCTACCGTTATGCAGAATTCATTCTTTGTGACGTTCGTATGTCGCATTCCAATGCACTTGTGTTGATGGTGACAAAAACTAGATATGCCTTCCAACGCAAATTGAATTATGCATTAATGAGCATTGTCTACGTACGTCACATCTCTTACGCAATTCAAGATAAATGATGAATTCATAATTTATGCTCTAATTATCACCTATAAAACTGTCAGTCCTTAGTCCTTATTTGGGCTTCATGACCTAAGAAAACTTTTGCAGTTCATCTTCACATACAGTATAGGATGGTACAGAATTTGAACAACCTCAAATATCAGTAGGTTTAGGCGCAATTCTTGTAGGATCCTTAGGTTTTTTTTTATATTGAAATTTTAACCATGTGCATTGCAATTTGATCTATATGTTGTTTTGTACTTTTTCGATTAATTTATGTAAATGAATTGGAACAAATTCAAAAGAATGTATAATCTAATTTACAAATTAAAAAATATCAACTGCCTAAAGATAATGCCATAGGACTAAAATCCAGAAGAGAAATTTTAAGCTATCAATTTTGATTAGTGTGTTATAATGCATGCATCTGTAAGTTAGGACTTTTTTTGTCTATGGTAAAGCAAGAATTTTTTTTATACTCTGTTTTGCGAAAGTCATTTTTTTAATAATCATCAGAGGAGGGCAGGAAAAAAAATAAAACTAAACTGTTGTCATTTTATTTAGGCCACAAAGAAGCAAGACTCGTACTACACTGCATAGAAAATAATCTAAAAAAACTCACCCAGTTTACACATATGCTACCTTGTTTTATAGTACAAGGTAATGTTATAATATTATGGTGAGTTGCTTTTAATTAAATTTACACATGTAAAAACACATGTTTTTGACTGTACAATAGGTCTAGAACATAATAATATGTTGGCATTATAAAAACAGACATTGTATAAATAATTATATAGTCTACAAAACCATCATAAAACACAGAAAAGCACATACTCTGAGCTATGCTACATTTTATAGTCTATATATTGCAGACATCATGAGGGTTTTAATTATTTTCTGTCTGTATTTTCTTTAACAACATGTGTTATTACACATATCCACATCTATATTAAAATCTGTGGTTACATAATATCGTGCAGGTCTCCTAGACAATAACCTTCAATCAGGCAATGCTGCATTGCATAATTCATCACAATAACCTCGTCAACAAATTTCATAACTCAATCAAGCAAACTGCATCGGCAGACAAACAGATCCGATTCTCACACACAAGAGTGGAATGGACGGCCATCTATTAACAAAACGGAAGCAAGTCTTCCCGCAGAAGCAATCAGTCACGCATGAGGTGTTTTCGTACAAAATTAGCTCGAATACTAATGACTTGTTCGGTAGCCACAAGGACATATTGCTTAGTTATAAATAACCAGCTTTATATCTAAGAAGTAGTCAAGAATGGAATTAAAACAGAACGGATATGAAAATAATCCATTATGATGTGATAATCTTCCTAAAAATCTTAAGTTTATTTTATTGCAGACACTTTTGAATATACTGTAAACACTTTAAGTAAGATGTGTTTTGTATACTGGCAGCTGGGATGTTTTTAAGTGGTATAAAATCAAAAATCTTTTTTGATTTTTACGAAAACAAATTCAAATGTACATTATGATGGCATATATAATGGGATCAAATGCTGCTCCATGATGATATAATATCTCTAATAATAATGTATGGTTGATATCATCTGCTACATTAATAATGAGGTTGATATTTCTGTTATTAGATTAGAATGTGTGGTTGATATCATCTGCTACAGTACAATGCGTGGTGGATATTTCTGCTATATTGTAATGAACATACATTATAATAATGGTGATTAATATTTTGTTTTTATTAATTTTATGATTTTGAATACCATTATAATACCATTATCAGCTGCTATTGCATAGTATCCTACAATATAACGTGGTTGGTATCTGATGGTCTAGATTTTCTAATATATTACAAATTGATGCTACATACTGTATGTACTTATGCATCAGGCAAAAAAATGCTTCTCAATGAAAACACTGATGTATAGGCAAAAAAAAACATGCGTCTCAATACAAACACTGAGATTTTGATTCTAGTTTTGAATACTAAATGTGATATTTTGCTACCATATATTGGATAGTTGGTATGCTACGTTAGGTCGTCTACTATAGTATGTATCGTAGTCGATAATACACTAAGGTATCCAATGCCATAGCCAAGATTTTCAAACAGTGCAGGACAATATCAAGGTGGGACCAACTTTACGTGTAAATTCAAATAATGTGGACCCATTTTCTTAAAAAAGTTAACACATTTAACGCAAAATATGAAAAATCTTGACCCATTTTCTTAAAATATTAACCACTTTAGGCTAATATGAGAAATCTGGACCCATTTTATGCATAAAATTGCATAATTTGGACCCATTTTTTAAAATATGGACCCATTCTTTGTAGATCCATTAGAAAAATTGTGTGGGACTGTCCCAACTATCCCAATAGCTGGCTATGTCATTGACGGTGTCTGCTACATTATTTGCTACATTATATGTGGCTCATACACTATTATAAATGTGACTCGTATTACCTGGTACATCATCATTATGGGTAGTGGCAGTGAAAGTGAGGGTGGTGGCTTAATCCCCATTGGCCACCATCCCAGTGACAATGAATCGTTGGACCACGGACCGAAAAAATATATAATGGGGCGTAACACACTGTACAACTTTTTAGTTTTACTGGCCGCTCCTCCACCAGAAACTGTACCCTATCACATTAGGTGTTTGTTTTAGTTTTGAGTAGCAACTACATGGAGGACGTATGATAAATGTTACTTTTGCTTTTTCCCCCTTCCAGTTTTCTATTGCAAGCACCAAGCATTATTTTGTATACATTAATAATAGCTTAATTTTATATTTCATAATTTACAGTACTGAGAAAGTGTGGAACTGGTACCTGAGAAGAAAGGGAGCAAGTCATTTGGAGGCAACAAACTATTAAGATTGAGAGCTGTGGCACGATGTTTAAGAAACTTGGTTATCAATCCCAGGGTTGCTTACCTTCTAATCCTGTATCACCAGGATTCTTTTTCTCATGGTGAGTCAAAATAAATGAGTCATATTAAGACCTATTTAGAATGTATTCCATCCTGTGGAAGTGATCAAAGCAATTGGCGCAACAATTGTGGCTCGGACTTTCAACCTTGAGTTTGGGAGTTTGAAACGCTCGCTGTGCAAGTCGCTTGTGTCTAATAGGCAAGACACTTTATCTACATTTGTCTCTCTCCACCCAGGAGTATAAATGGGTACCAAAATATGCTGGGAAGGTAAAACAAATTATTATGTGGGTGGAGTGGCGAACCCCCCACAGCCTTGCACAGTCTGGCCCAAATGCTAAAGTAAAGAGAGACGGACACTCCAGCCTTCGAGCCCAGAGCTTCAGGTTTTGACTTTTACCTATTACCATCCTGTAAGTGCTACTTATATTCTTTCCATGGAGGTATGCCCTTTTTGTTCTCTCCCAAAAGACAAGGATTTAAATTCAAAAGTACTTGCAGTTTGCCTCTAGCCCTTACACTTATGATTAACAGTGCATACCGTATGTTCATATTGCTTGTACATAATTCTTCTGTTACATGTACTAATTAACATAATTTGCCTCATTTTATTGTACAATTGTAGGAATAAAAGCATTTCTGAATTGAGAATAGCATGGACATTGTTAACATCTAAACATTAATTGCAAAACTTACATTTTCGATGTTTGGGGATGTGAATAATATGTATAAATAATTGTTTTTATTTATACATATTAATATTTTAATTACAGTTTGTATGCATGTGTATATATAAATAATTCTGATTATTTCAATTTTACAATGTTTTAGAACTGCAATATTTCGATTCTAGTAATGGTAAATAAATACAGTATAGCATTAATTTGCTAAGCAGCTATTGACAAAATTTCCAAACTGAAGATATTCTTTACTTGATAGAGTGTTTCTGTCATACTCTTGTGGACTTACTACCCACGCACTCATTATCATTCTCCACACAACCTCTGATCAATAGACCGATATTAATTCCATCTCAAATTCATCTTGTAGTTCGTGCTTCTACGCGTTGGAAAAACATTTAATGGGGAGATGTGATTGGTCAGCGGGATTCAGCATTGTACATTCGTTTATCTTTAGGAAATGGTGTTTCTGACATTTCCGATATTGGTACAATAGACAGCTACCATTCAATCAATACCAAGCAAAAGGAAGTGCTGTAATATCCTGCTAACTCATGAATTATTCATGAGCTTTGCACCATTATTCTGGTTCAGTTAAATACAATATATTCTTCTTGCAGATCATTTTATTATTTAGGTAAAAAGTACATAAAGCTCTTGCAATAATAATTTCTTATAATCCAGTGTACTATGCCTTTATTTTCTTTACTATATATTGTTTTTGATTTTGTAATAAAACATTGAAAGAAATAACGAAAGATCCAGTCCATAGCAATTGTTAATTCGGGCACACACTGTGGCCAACAATCGTCGCTCACTGCGATTCTATAGAGAACGCAATGAAATGATGCGCACGCACAACTGTTTAGCGCTCACAAGTTGAATTTTATGGTTGAGCAACTGTCGTACGATGCAATGAATGTCTGGCTTTAGAATCACACGTGAAGGAGCGACTATAATTAATTTTTTTCTTCTATTTCAGACCATTCGACCTGTTTAAGTATACGTTAAATGTACTAGTGGTGGATCCAGGAATTTGAAATATAGGGTGCCCTGAGAAGGGCTTTCACAGATGGAGGGTATATACTACCTCAGTCCCACCATAGCTGGGGCTCAGGTAAGACAATTTATGATTATGCAATGGCACCTCTAGATGGCCGGAAAAGACACTCTAGACTTAAAATTTGAGTAGAATTTTCCTTTTTTCTAATTTTTTTTTATTTTGAAAAATTTAGGGGCCCCTGGGCCAACTGGGCCTCCTTTGAATCTTCCACTGTGTGCAATAGACTGAAAAGTTTTTTTTGAGATGACCAATGAGAAATATGGTGAGTCTGCTTGAAATTTTATTGACAAATTAAGTAACTATGAACCATCTTTTGTTATATTGATTAAAAATGACAAATGTCTGTGAATACTTAATTTATGCCGTTTCATGATTCTCCATTTATCTTTTATCAATGTCTTTACAAGAAAAATGGTGTTGATCTCACTGACATTCAAGCTGCCGTCATGTTACAACACATTAAAAACTTTACTCGTACCGATAAAAATTTCCTCTCTTTATTCACTTACGCAAACTCTTCAATTCCCTCTCTGATGAATTACTTCTCATTAAATTTGCAAACATTAACATTTATTAAAACCATTCTGATTGCATTTTATATTTTTGCAATTTTATAAATACATACTATAGTATATTGTATTTAATGCCGTAGCCAGCTATTGGGACAGTTGGGACAGTCCCACGCAATTTTTCTAATGGGTCCACAAAGAATGGGTCCACTTTGTGTTTTGGGTACTGCCTTGGAGAGCCACATGGCAGTTGCACGTTTGTGTAATTTTTTTTTTATCCCGGATTGGCAGCACTCTTTGTTTTTGCTCTTCTTGTATGAATTTAAACAACAATCTGATGTTGATGATAAATATTTTATTAGTTTGTTTCTTTATTATATTCAAAATTGTGTTCTTAACCATGGAAAAAACACCATCTATATTTTATGTGAATTGAAGGGTTTTAATGCATCTTTAAATTTTAATTTGCAGACAGACATTCAAAGTCAAAGCAATTTTAACAATGTATAATAAATTATTAAATTTGTAATTTTCTTATTATTTCAGATAAATATGATTGATGACCAACTAGCTGAGATAGTATATAAGGTCAAGCATTGATCTCATGATTTATCACAAGTTTTAAGAAACATTTATACAAGTCCTCAGGGAACCACAGTACATACAAGAATATCTACCAGATAGAGGGCGCCATTTAATATGCAAGAACTTTTTAGTTGCTGCGTTTGTTTTCAGTATACTGTACTGTAGTAATCTAATCTTTTACAGAAATATTTATTCAGATCACAATACTAAAAAACTACACCATGTAATTAGTTTAAGATTGAACTACTGTATTATAAACCAAATTAAAACAGTCAAGATTTAATAGCAAACTATATTCCAAAAAGGGAATTTATAAGCACCAAATATTGTGGAGAAAAGAATATTTAAAATCATTATATAAATATAAAAATATATTTAATATTATACATATTTTAAAAAATGATAATGGAAGAAAGCAATGGTAGAAATTGGTATGGCTTTCCAAATGAAAAAGAGGGAGATTGAGAGGGTACCTTTTACATTCTCTTTGTCACCAAAGTATACATTGGTACCTTGGAGCTCCAGGGAGCTCTGTTTGACCAGGGTAATAAGGTGAAGTACATTGAATCATTCGGACATTTAGCTAAAGCAACAAAAAATAGAGAGGTTTCGCATGCGAACGAATACGTGTATGCATACATTTAGCTATCTGTAACGGTTTGTAGCCATTCTGTTTTTCTTGCAATCACAGCGCAATTCAAGCATAGGCCTAGGGCCTTAGCTTACAGTAGGTCCTACTCCTAGGCCTATAATCCATTTTCTTCTCTCTCACCATGCTTCTCAAAGTTTTAGTATGTAAGGTTTTGGAAATTGAAATTGGTAGCCGAATAATACTCTTTCCTTTGTTGCCCAGAAGGGACAGGCCCTATTGTCTATGACCCAAAAATGCCTGGCTATAAGCTAGGCCTACACGAAAATCCAGACACCACAAAATGGGATACATCCTATCGTAATTTTTTGTCTTCCAATGTCACAAAAATAGCACGTAAGAAAGTATTCAAAGATAAATTTATTTTTTACACTTACTGTAAAATTTGAAAAATGTTCGTATCCGTTACACTAACCGTATGTGTTCGCGTGCGAAACCTCCCTATTAATACATATATAACACTTTGAGACATGTTACTGGTCTTATATTTAGGACCTAATAAAAACATTTTTTGTTGGCTCACATTAGCTAATATATATTTTGCAACATACTGTATTAACCATTAACATTAAGAAACTTTTAAATATTTTTATAGACAGAAGCAATATACACTTTATACATGAAAGACATTCTTGAGTTAGGTGGTGCTTCCTACTATTAACTTACTTCAAATGTATAACACCACACCATGTACAAATTTCAGTTTATTTTAATAGTTACAAAATTGATTGTCAAATTGATAAATTCTTTTCAAGATGATTGTTATGGCAAGATTAGTTCTTCTACAGTATTTTCTTATACAATTCTGCTGTATCTTAAAGCCAGGCTCCGAAGAGCAAAAATTGATATGTTGTTCACGTAAATATTCTAAGACACTGAAGGAGCGTAACAACCTTTCCCCCGCCCCAGTTTTTTTAAATATTCAAAAATCTGTATTATATTAGTTGTTTATTTCTTCTAAAACCACTTCAGTGTCTTACAATATTCATTTGTACAACATACTGTAACACCTCAAATAGAACCCCAATGGGGTTAATCTCAAGAAGTAGCCCACGGCTTCTTTTCGAAAGATAGAACAATACATACATATACATGAATTTCAAAGAACCAGAATAAATTAAAAACATGCTTGGTTTATACAGTAGTTTAGGTGACTTAATACCAGTTAATACACTCGATGTTACAGTGACCCTATTTATTGTTTTATAATAATAGTTCTAATAAAAGAGCCTAGGGCTTCTATTCAAGGTTTCACAGTACATCAATTTTCCCTCTCTAGAGCTTGAATTTAAAAATATACTGTCTGATAAAATTTGAATTAAGTCACTGAACTGCTCAAGATCAAGTATACCTTTTAAGATATAAATTATTCAAAATGATTATCAGCCAATCATATGAATGCTAATAACAGAAATTTACAAAGTAAGCAATTTATCAAGTTTATAAGGTCAACACAGACTGTGTCATTAATACCTGTCACATGATACCTCCTTTCGTCCTTTTATCTCTCTACCTGTAGTTTCAGAGCCCTGAGTTCAATTTCTATTTCCTGTCGTCGCTGTTGTTCCTGACGTAATTGACCTAAAATGGATTCAAACAGCTGTTGACAATATAATTGTAGAATATATAAATACAAATACAAACAGACTTTACAAAATGTTGATATACAGTACATTTGGTTTAACATTGCAATAAGTAATATATGGGTGGTTGAAATTTTGGAATACTGTACACCTACACATCTCATGTGAACGTGTATACAGTATTTTAAAGCCATTCCCCCCACCCCGCCCACCATTAAGGGTGCAGGCAGGAAAACATATTTGATGTCGAGGACAGAAATTTCACTGATAATGAACCACCATTATCATTTACAGTCCATACTTAATCCATGCTATCATTGGTTGGACTGTTCACAATGATAGCTTTCCTCCAGTTATTTCTATTCTGCACAATGAATGTATTGAATAAATCAAATCACAAAAAAATATGTTACCTTGAGTGTCAAATAATTTCTGTTCTACTTTTCTTCGCAGTTTTTTCTCAGATTGATATCTCTCCTCCCAGTCTATCACTATGGTGACAGAAAATTGAAAATTAACAGCATACAAGTTAAATGCAATAAAAGTACCATCTGATGGAAGACAGAAAGGTGGCTAAAAGATCTAGTCTGATAGTTACAGTTGCACCCACCAAGCCCCCTACAAATAGTACCCTTACCCCAAACCTTGGAAGTTTTATGAGCAAAAAATTACACTTTAGTTACAGTGTGTCAGAGGGGCATCTCATTTCCTATCATTCTCTATGATTAACTCCTCAGCTTGTAGATATGACCACTGAATTAGGATGTAAATGACGAACTTCTGCTTCTCTTACCTGATTGGCTCTGCTGTTTTTGTAGGCTGGCAGAAGCCAGATGGAGCAATTCTTGTGCAGTCTGAAGTATTTTCAAAGGATCTGAAAAATATATATAAATGTTAACAGATTCAATAAAAAAAAAAAATCAATACACATTACTTATAGCAGCCCATAAACTAATGCATTGTTATTGGACTACCACTACTGCTTTCAGCTTTCCCCCACTATAATCTTATAAAAGGTACCTCCTTAACACAAAATAAAAATGATAGTACATCCCGATCCACCTGGGATGTACGAGGCTTAATCAGTGGCAGATTAAATTACAAAAAAATAAATAAAAAATGAAGAAACTTATATTCAAATTTAAGTCCGAGAGTGCCATGATCATAATTTTTCCCCCAACCATGGTGGGGCTGAGGTCCGTTGAGCCCCTTCCTGGATCTGCCACTGCTTATTATGTATCAGAAAGTGCAAAGTTTACAGATATTTAAATATTTCCTTTGTGTGATTCTGGAGAAAAAATAATAAAATGAAACTTACATGACATGCAGTTTAGAAACATGGACAGTAATGTAAGAATTCTGAACAGATAACGATAATGAATTTAAATGGTGGTGGCGGTGATGTCATTTTATTAATCAATCTACAGTATATCATTTTACCTTCTTTATTGAGATCGCCATGGTGATTGTCATCAGATTTGTTATCACCATGACTACCAGCATAACTTGACATTAATTTCTGCTCAGATGTTGCAAAACTTTGTCCTGCTTTTTTCTCACTTGGGTCATCTCGGGGGTCATCTAGTTTGTATGTAGAAATTTCATTATCCAGAAACCTAGCGGAAGTCATATTGTCGGATAGTAAAGACGAATCAGATAACTTTAGACTTCCAAGTTTGAAGTCTTTTCCATCACTCAGATACTTCTGCAAAGATTTTCTTGCAGATGGTTGTGCAACACTTGATGAGGACACTTTAATTACTGGTTGCTTAGCAACATCAAATTCTAAGCTCTCATCAGTCAAATGTGAAACGGATGACATGATGTCCTTTCGTGAATCATATCTCCTCCTAGCCTTCTCTGCAGACCCTTGTATAATGTTTTGTGTACTTTGCAGCAATCTCCTTGAGGCTAAGACATCATTGTGAATGGTTCCATTCAAGCTGTTACTACTGCCATTTGTTTTCCAATGAAAACGGTTATCTGTGTAAGTTTTACCAGAACTTCTAAAAGATACTGGGCTCGATTTCAAAATCCTGTCTTTTTCTCCATAAATTTGCATTCCGTTCCCACTAATTTTTGACTGAAACTCTTCCCACAATTTCTTCTGATGTATTCCGGGATTATCTGTCGCCAGTTCAAGCTGTGTGGCATTACATTCTACCCTTGTTCCCAGCTTCTTGTCATGGCAGTGCTTCAGGAATGCTGATGGGGAAAAGAATATACTGCAGTCTTGACAAGAAATGCACTTGGACTCTTTATACACCTGGTACTTTGGATAGTAGCTTCCAGCTTGTGTTCCCGAAGCTGAATAATGTTTCACCGGTATCTGCACATTGAAAGTGAGGCTGGATGACTCTGGTACACCTGACATCTTACTCGAAATACTGATGCTACTTAGACCACTGTCCATGCTATGTGACTTGTAGAGGCATGGTGACGCAACTGGATTTGAAAATGAGGAGTTTGTCCTTGTTCTGCTGTAACTGTGTGTCAATGGGGTTCCTAGTTTAGCTTGCTCTCTGTCGAGAAGTGATAGAGCTTGTTGAAGATCAGTATCAAACAGGGCTTTTCTTGCAGCTGTTGGCGACTGCATATTTTTCCAAATGCCTGCAATTAAAGACTAGCAGAGGCTAGGCCTATAAAATATGAATGGAATAGAGTAAATAAGAGCATGAAAGAAACTCACATCGAAATAGCATGAAAGAGAACATTGTACCTTGATTACTTATTAATTATACCATTATATTACATTTAATAACATGAGAATGAAATAATTATTAGTAATTAGTTCCACTAACATGTATTGCAAGTGTCCTGTAGTGTTAGACTATCCAAGCCCAAGCCTTATTGGTCACAACTCACGACAGGAAACCAGAATCGGCTCTTATCTTCTGAAATACATAGACCGAGTATAATATTCCCCGCGCACAAATTACAGCCCAAAACATCAGTCTGAATGTGGGCCTGTCGTCCTGGGCCCGATCGTACGACTGGGTGTAGGACCGGTTCGGCCGTATGATATTCATTGCCCAAATAAGGGTTATTGTATGGAACGCCGTGTAGTGTATAATCAAAGCGTGAATTGGATGTCACTGTATTACTGTACAGTGCAATGTTGACCGCGGGTTAGGTGGTGGTGCAGGGGAACCTTATAATAAAAATAACGATTACTAATAAAAAAAAATGTGTTGTTTGTTTTTACTTCTAATGGTGGTACACGGGAACCTAATAATAAAAATAACGATTACTAATTAAAATGTGTTGTTTGTTTTTACTTTTACTGGTGGTACACGGGAACCTTATAATAAAAATAACGATTAATAATGAAAATGTGTTGTTTGTTTTTACTTCTACTGGTGGTACACGGGAACCTAATAATAAAAATAACGATTACTAATGAAAATGTGTTGTTTGTTTTTACTTCTACTGGTGGTACACGGGAACCTTATAATAAAAATAACGATTACTAATGAAAATGTGTTGTTTGTTTTTACTTCTACTGGTGGTACACGGGAACCTTATAATAAAAATAACGATTACTAATGAAAATGTGTTGTTTCTTTTTATTTCTACTGGTGGTACACGGGAACCTTATAATAAAAATAACGATTACTAATGAAAATGTGTTGTTTGTTTTTACTTCTACTGGTGGTACACGGGAACCTAATAATAAAAATAACGATTACTTATGAAAATGTGTTGTTTGTTTTTACTTCTACTGGTGGTACACGGGAACCTTATAATAAAAATAACGATTACTAATGAAAATGTGTTCTTTTTATTTCTAATAATACTGTACCGTTTAGACCATTGTATTTAGTACATTATTTTTTACGGAGTAGTTTTTAATAGCATAATTTTTAGTTAAAGTATATTATTATTACTTAATAATTTACTTAAATTTGTAACTTATCAAGAAGCAAATGTATTTGTATTTTGGAATAAAGTATATCATTAATTAAGTAGTGGTAACCAATTAAATTGTGATCTACTTCTGGTGTGTGTTATTATAACAGTAATATTGTTTGTTAAATCTGTAATCAGTTGGTGAATTCGCTTTGCATACACGTCCCGTCAAAATATGCATGTTTTGTCCTCGAACGCAAGACGGTAAATAACGTCACCACGGAAATGTGTATTCTATTGTTATTTTTTCAATGAAGGGCGTTTACAGTTAACTTAAAGTGCTTGGTTGTAGAGAAAGATTGTTA